TTTTTTTTCTGGGACATACGGATTTGACATGGGCCCAAAATTTGAAAACCTTCTGAAGCTCCAACCCTGCCCGGAGCCAGACTTTTACTTCTTGTGGCGAAAAGTTATTTTGCTGCAAGGCTGAGGCCGTGTAATGGTGGTTTAAGGGCTGTAGGGTGAGACATGTTGCAGTAAGGTTTCAAACTCAGAGACAGGGTGAAAAGGAAGCCATACATGCAACAGAGCGGACCAAAACGGAGAAAACGTGCATAGACGAAGAAAAAAAAAAAAAGAAAGAAAACCATCACGATGTAAATTTGTGAACACTGAACACTATAAAAATGGTGGGCTCTCTAACCTGTTCATGATCCACAAAACTGTAGGAGTGCAGCAGCACAACTGCAAGGCTAGTGATTCCATCATCCAGTAATCTCTGCAAAGATTAATCAACAAACAAACGACATTAATACATAAAAAAAGGAAACGAAATACCCAACATGATGACGTGGCAAAATCCCACATAGCCAACCCTTACCAAGCAGGTGAAAGTTCTGTGAAGCCGTGAAACATAGCTGAGCGCATAGACGGATTCCACACACAACGCTGTGACTCTGTCTGGCCTGCGTCACTTTGCCTCCTCCAAAGGGCTGAGATTCTTTGATCTTGGCAGCACAGACCTTGCCACAGCCTGTGTCTGCCTTGACCTGGTAGGTAGGCCCTCAATGCTTCTGGCACAGATTCTAAGCATTTTGATTTCTGTGTGGTCTGTGGCTGTGGCTGACTTCCAGAGAAAGACTCTTGGACTGCTGGACCTGGTAGAGCTGGACAGCGACTTTCCAAAAGCCTTGGTGACTTCCTCAGGTCTTTCATACCCAGTCCGGATACCGGATCCCTAGTTTACTCACCTGAGGATTTGTGTTTGCACCTCTAGGACCCTACGGACCGACCTTGACCCCAGAGCAATGACTTGGCCAAAAGCTAGGGGACCCTACAGTGCAAACTTCGACCACAGGTCTTTGCGAGTCCCGCCGTAGGCTCACCCCTCTGTCAATATCAAGGCATCCGGTATGATTACAAGGTAACTGCTGCACAGTGATGCCATAAATGCCTATTGAACAAAGGTTCATCGCATAAATAGCCAAGGAGTTATGACTGTTAGTCAAGACGCACAACTTCAAACCACTCCCCAGGGTGACCCTTTGACTGCTCTGACCCAGGGTGGGAAGATCTGCATCCTCAAGGCTACGTCCTCGTAGGGTGCTTTGGCCATTTTGCAGTGCTTCGCGCCTTTGAAATCGTGCCTGGCTGCGTGTGTTTAGACTCTAGAGGTTTTTTTACAGCAAAGGAAAACGTTTTCGTCAAAGTAAAGAAATGGAGAACAAAGACCTACCCACCTGCAGTGGTTCCTTGAGAGCTTCCGTATCAATTGGACGCACAACTTCAAACCACTCCCCAGACTGACCCTTTACTAATCTTTGAGAAATTGATCTGCCTTCGTTTACTTCATGTATCAAATCAGACTCTGCAAGCTGTACACGCTCGTCAACTTCAATCACTCGCTCGTATCTGCACAGATGATGCAAAGAAGGTCACAATAGAATGAAAACAGTCATCCGCATTCATCACCAAACCTGCTCCTGCAAACAATTGGATTTTGGGGAAGGAAAAAAAGAAAAAAGGAAAAGACTCTTCTCACCCTCAACCCTCAGGTCCAATGTTGCCAAACACACACCTATTGTTTTCGTAAGTGGGGATCATTCTGATTCGTCAGTTCTACATTTGCACATTGTATCCTCCATGAGAGTAAGGCCGCCTCATATAATGTGCATTCCTTATTCTACTTGAAGCGTGCTATTGGTTCTCCAAACTTTTCCCGTGATGTGGCAAAGAAGCACATGCACCTTGGGGCATTGACAGATGCAGACAACAAACCCTTGCCGTATAGTAACCACACTTCCATACCAATTGGTCAAGAGTGATGTATGGAAAGATGTATGGAAAACCCTCTAATATCTCACACATCACTAATTGGAGGGTTTTGATAATGGTGCTATAAAGACAAGACAAAGCACTGCACAGATGTGAGTGGGACACCACAGCTCCAATTCGGAACCGACGACTCCCCCCCCCCCCCAAAAAAAAAAAAAACCGTCCCAAACATCGCCCGCACATGAGCACCGTCACATGTCTACTCGAGCATGACCTGTTGCATTTTTACTGCGAGCATGCTTCTTTTCATTTTCCAGAAACTTGCCCAAAAACACTCTATCAGAATCATTTACATATGCCTTTACTAAAAAATAGGCCCAGAAAGCCATTGGGCAAAACCCCGTAACCAAGGATCAGCAGGTGTTGCTATTCTGATACACAGCAGTTTCAAGGTTCCACAATGAGACCCACCACCAACTTGGGAACGCATTGGATAAGGAAGCTGGGTGTGTGTCTTCCTTAGATCTCAGACGTGCCCTCGACATCACATGTCTACCTTACGGAAACGACCACTAATGCCAGACTACAGACAAAGAAAAATTAAGCTAGACTTAGGATTCTAGCACCAATATCAGGATTTAAAAAAAAAACAAAAAAAAATACACAGGAGTAGAGGGTGGTACACCCTTCCTTGAGGAAGTAAAACCAAGGCTAGATGGACAAGGATTTAGGGTTAGGCCAGACAAGACAAATAGGGTTAAAGATTCAGGTTTTCAAGAAATCCACAAAGTACACCTCACTGCTGTAGCATAACACACCGACCCAACAGCATTGCAGCTGAGAGGAGCAGGACTGTGGCCAGTGGAATTAGCAAGGGCCTTCCAGATTAAGTATCACAGGATAACTTAAGCAGGGGTGAGAGGGGGTACATCCTTCCACAAGGAAGCAATCAAGGCCGCCCACTCGGGCCTCCCAGCCATAATGGGGAGGAGTGTGCGTGAGTTTCCTATGTATTCCATTGACTTGCCGGGGGAATAGGAACCGGACTGTTGCTCCCCAGAATGGCAGGAGCCAGAACCAAGAGGTTCTAATTTAAATTAAAAAAAAAAAAAAGGAAGCTGGGTGTGTGTGTTGTGCAATGCAAGGAAGAGTGACTTAGTGTCAATGTAACATTCAACGGAATAAGATTGCCTTGGGTTGCCCAGGTTGCCCCGAAACACAAGGTTTTGTTGTCTGCCTCTGGGGAGGGACACATGGGGGGCTATCTCTGCACTAGGGTTTAAGATTTAGAGTTCGGGGTTTAGGGTTTCGGGTATAGGGTTTAGGGTTCAGGGTTTAGAGTTAGGGGTTAGGGGGTTGGGGCTTGGGGCTTGGGGTTCGGGGTTCAGGGTTCAGGGTTTGGGTTATGGGTTCTGGGTTAGGGTTAGGGTTAGGGTTAGGGGTTAGGGGTTAAAGGTTAGGGGTTAAGGGTCAGAGTAGGTTGTGTTACATTCAAAGGAGGTCCACTAGATCAGATGGCACTTCCAGAGATAGATTTAATCCAGAGGAGAATTCTTATTTTTGCTCTAGATGAGAGTAGATCACCATACCTTTTTTTCCCAGTTGATTGTCTGTCTTGATCAATCTGTGGTGGTGTGATGTCTACTACAATGATGAAGGTGTACACTTGATTTTTCTGGTTTTTTTCCAAACCAAGCTTGCCCCGTCCATGATAACCTAATCCTCGAGAGCTGGCTAATCCTTCCACCCTCATGCAACAGCAACCTCCCCAATCTACCCCCGATACCCCGGATCCGAATGTAAACAAACCCGAACCTAGCACCCAATGCCCAACCTACGCAGTCCCCTCAATAATCCCCACACTCACCCCATACGGCCCCTCTACCTCATCGCCTTCACCCCCCACCCCTTCAAAAGCAGTCCCACAACTCATCCACCCCAGTCACAAAACACCTTCCCCACTCTCGAGGCGTCAGAGCTCTAAGAAAATAAGAAAAATTCAAAAGAATTTCTGCTCCAGCCGGCCTGATCTCCCCCCCAACAGTCGTGATGCCCCAACATTACTATTATAATATTATTCCCCCAGATCGCCAACTTTATACCCCAAAAATCCCATCTCAAATCTCCTTCCCCAGTAATCTTAAACAGACATTGACACTGTATCCACAACTCCAAAAAATAGGGCAATTTTAGGAGCAGGGTTTAGGGTTTAGGTTCTAGTTTCTACTACTTTCTAGTATCCCCCAGGGTTTAGGGTTTAAAAAAGGAGGGAAGAGAGGGAAGGTTTAGTGTTTATGTTCTAGTTTCTACTACTTTCTAGAGACTACAGACAAAACAAGATAAGAAGTCAGCAATTCTAAAGTCTAGCCAGATGAGCATTCCAGCACTTGTAGCAAATCCGACAGCTCAACAGCTGAGAGGAACAGGCCAATCTGCAATTGCATAGGCAAACAAAAGTCAATAGTTAGAAACAGAAGAAGTAGAAGAAGTCGTTCCAGCATCCAATACCAACAGTAGTTCAACAGGCTAACCTAGGCAGGGGTGAGGGGTGGTACATCCTTCCTAAGGGAAGTAATCAATGCCGTCCACTCAGTACTCTCAACCGTAATGGGGAGGAGCGTGCATGAGTTCCCTTATTTAATTTCTCCTGACTTGCCGGTGGAATAGGAACCGGACTGATGATCCCCAGAATGGATATGGAGCAGAGCCCTAAGGTTCTGTTTTTCTCAACAACAAAAAAGAAAAAAACAGATTGCCCCATCCCTTCTGGGGGGCTACAGTCTGGTTACTTCTACCCGGGAAGCAAAGAACAAGTTACAGTAGAGAATGAAGCACAGGATCGGCCTGCAGAGGGGGCTGGGGGCGGTCTCCCAGGGCACCGATCCGCTTTCCCACCTTGGGGCGGGGATAATGGTCGTGGAACATATCTCTGTACCCAGGTGTACTTATGAAAGCCGTATTTTACTAAATGAAGTAAAATCATACTAAAATGGTGAAATCCAATGTTTTCATCTCTGGTTCAGCTTAAGGAGGTATGCTTCGGTCAGGAAACACATCAGAGCCACAAGTTGGATGAAGTTTGCACATTTGAGGAATAATAACAAAAAGGAAAGGGACGCCAAATTGCCAATGGGACTTTTTGATGGACCTAGTGACTCTTACACCATTGTTGTTCTTACATAAGTGAGGGCTTCTGGACTGTCAGATCGAAGATCTTCGGGCGGGCCTGGTTACCAATCTGGAGGATGTCTCTGAATCCCTGTGACAACAACAAACTGGAATAGTAAATGTTCGGAATTCGAAATCAACAACAAGTGAAGTAATTGAGCCTACCAAAACCATGGATCGGCTTTTCACTTATGATCTATGAGATGTCCAAGGCCATGATTTCTTTTTTTCTTTTTTCTTTTTTTTTTAAACAGGTCCTTAAGGTCCTGGCTCCATATCCATTCTGGGGAGCGTCCATCCACCCACCCAACCCTTCATCCTTCCATATACCCAACCACCAATCTGCCCCTCATATTGTCCTCCACGCACGATCGCCTCATCTGATAATCCCGACTGGGACCACTCACCTCGTTAGTTCAGCACTTCCCCCCCCCCTTCCTCCTCCCCGTCCCCCGATCAATCACTTTGACACAATCGCATACCCTCCAGTCTGTCTTCCCCCCCCACCCCATCCCCCCCACCTCCCCTCACATCTCTTTCGACAGCGCCCACGATCCCCCCTTACAATCTTCAACTCCCACTTTCCCAGCCACCCAGCCTTTCATCCACCCATCCATCTTTCCCTCCTTCCATCCTTGCCCACTAACGCGCCCGCAATTCCCCCCCAGTCCGTACCCCCAATCTTATCTGAATCTTGATCATCCCCGCCCTTGGGATCCTGTTCAAGCCCCAAGTGGGAAAGGCCAACGCTGCTGCGGTGTTCCACCTCCTGAGGTTCGACTGATCAGATACACCAAATACAATTAGTAAAGAAGACTAGGACCGAGCTTCAGCAAGCAAAAAGAATGGCTTCCTCCTCTCAAAATGTGAACCAGAACACCTTGGAAAAGGCGATCAATGTGACAATGAGACTCTCAAATTCTTGATAGAGAAAACGAAAGTACAAGGGATACAGACCACGGAAACACAAAATATTGATGGAAAAGAAGAACAGGTAATTGTCTGGAAGTATCTGGAAGAAAAAGTGGCGGAAATGGATGATCTGCACGAAAGGCACGACGTGGTGTTCAACTTCGCTCGTAACGGTGCAGAACTCCAGCCGGCAGAAAAGAGAAAGTAGGTGATTGAAACAATCAAGAAAGAACCACAATTAAAACAGGTTGGCTTCACTATGCAAATACTGGGTCGGAACAATATCATGGCACTGTTCATCCATGAAGATCATGCACGGCTCGTGGCAGATATGCAGTCCAGAAATTGTAGTGGTTCAGTCTGCACTACAACCAAATGGAAAAAACTGAATGTTCAAAGACAGAACCCGATTTTCACAGTGTCCTACAAACAGACTCTGTTGAAGGAGAACTTTTCGGTACAATTTGACAACATCCAACCGGGCTTTCATGGTCTACTGGTGGACAGGTTAGAGAGACAATATACTGCAAACAGGATCCTCAAGTGGATCCTGCCAACACCAGAATTCCTGGCACCGCACTGTGGCACTATGATGGTCGTGCTAGAAGTCAGAACAGACGACCCTCCAGTGTTCCCACCGACCTGGAAGTTCCAGATCGAAAACAGAGTAGTAGAGGTCAGAGTCTCGACCAAAGATTCCCCAATCTGCTTCCGCTGCAGAGAGCGAGGACATCTGGGAACAGACCCCAACTGCCCCAAGTTTTCGAAATAGTTAAAAGAGTGGAAACTCCGCTCCAATATGATGGTGGAAGTGGAAGATGCCTCGGGCACCTGGTTCATCGCCGACTCCAACTATGATGGGTGGGTGTTTGATGATAACTAGGAACCGGATTGGGTTTGGCACTCCGCCGACCAGCCCCCAACAGTAAAAAAACCCAACATTTTCCCCCCAGCCGACAACAGATAGCAAAAGACAGCAACGGGGAAAGTGGCAGGGAACCCAACGAAAATAAAAACGGACCTGCTCATGAACTCCCGGGTGATCAGGGAGGAAAAGGCTCGGGAAGACTTACTATGTGACTTGGAAACAGTCAAGGACCAAACAATGCAAGAATTCAACAAGCAATCAACCTCCTTCCGAGCAATGTTGAAAAATATGGAACAAACTGAAATCCGAAAAAAGAGCAAGGCGCACATGGACAACAAACGCAGACTGAACAATGACGTAGTGTAGGAGACTGCGGAAGGTGGCCTCAAGAAGAGGAGGGCAATGGACACAGAAGGGAGGGAGGTAGTGATACAATCAAAGGCAGAGGAGGACAAGGGTGCCAAGATGACAAACCTCCAGGGAATGGGGTCAGGTAGCGTGGCAGAAGGAAGCAACAACGAGGCAGGGGGCTCAACCACAGACAGCGAAAACGGCCCCCCTCGCTCCTTGCCGTGGCTTAGAGACTAAGTTGAGAAGGTTAAAAAGAACAGGGAGCATGCCTTCGATATCCGGGTTGTGTGTCTGAAACACGCTGAAAGATCCTTGAGGAACGGGAAGAAAGGAACCATCGAGGGGATAGGGAACTCCAACAACCAGTTTGAGGCTCTCCGTAAGATAAAAGCAAAGGAGTTCTCAGAGTACACAGCCTTCAGATATGCAGAAAAGAAGAGGGCAAGAGATTAGGGGATACAAGACATGGATAAGACCCTACCCAGCACAAAGGATGATTTCCAAGATTTGCGCCCAAAGAAATGGAAGTTAGGGAAAAACCAAAAGAAGAAACAACCCAACGCAGAACAAATAGAGGCCGGAGAGGATTCAGACTACCCTCGACTGGGAAAAGAAGCAGCAGTGGTGTTAGCCCAAACAGAAAAATTGAAGAAGCTGAACAAAGAATACGCGCCTGGATTCGTCTCTATCATGCACATAGCCAGAAAGGAGTACCCGTTGGTGGAAGAATCAGCAAAGTCTTCATGTCTGACTCTGATGAACATTCGCCTGCTGATTGCTGTCAGGTTTGTAGAAAAAGCAAGGGAATGGCAGATTGCAACCGACGTTTCCTTCGAGATTCCAAGGTTCGAGGAAGGTCAGAATGTGGCTGACATCCTTCGGGATAAGGTAACGGCGGAGGTCCCGTTGGGCATCTTTGAGACTGTTCCTGGAGAGGTAGACCAGGAGGACACATTCCCTCAAGACGACCACGACGACCTCCAAGGGAGACATTCCTCGCGGGCGTTCTCACCGTTGATTGCCAAGATGCTGGAGACAACACAGTTGAGGTCAGGGATGAGATGGAGACCCTGGAGAACGGTGACAACAGTTTCATACAGTGTGCTGTCGGGCCCAACGATCCCGACTGAATTGACGGCCATGTCAATTGCTCACCTCGTCACTACAAGGATATTGGAGGGCGATGGGGATCTAGACGCCAGGGCCTTTTCGACTAAGTGGGACAAATTTTATAGAAGTGATTGCTCAGATACGACATTGGAACACGAGGATGCAGACGATGAGAAGGAAGTCAAGGGGATGGACTCAGTAATGGAGAAGGACAACAGTGGAAGGGAGGAACTGGATAAGATAGAGGATTCAGATTTATTATCACCCTTTAAGACAGGGCAAGACACACCGGGGCCTGACTCGGACGACGGTCCAAAGGAAATGGACACGGGCGCGCCGGCCCCCCCGTAGATCCCATTCTGATAACACCCCGTATGCATCCTACCCGAGATAGCTGCTTCAATGGAGGAGTTCAAAAGAGTAGCTAATAGGGGGGATGATCAAGTAGATGTGAGGTACCAAGGGATAGTTATCCGGAGCTGGAACATCAATGGGTTGGGAAACATTACGGACAAAGAAGATAAATTAAACGACCTAATGAAAGGAATGACAGTCTACAACAAGAAAATAACTGACATCATAGTATTACAAGAAACCCATATGACCCTCTCTGTCGAACATAATAGAATCCGCTCCTTCTTAGCAAGGAAATTAGGCGGGATCAAGGACGAGATCTGGGCCACGGATAGTGTCTCAAGCACGAAAGGGACAACCATTTTGATTCCTAAATCCTCCCGCATGTACACGGTCGAAGGAATACTTGACATGAAAGTTTATCCTTGCGGTGGGAGAAGGTGCTTCATGCACTTCGAGTGGAAAGAAGAAGAATTCATATTATTCAATGTCTATGCGCCAAATGAACCGTCTCACATTTATCCCAAACTTAAGCAGAATGATTCCCCCTCTATCAACTTGTGTTTTAGTTGGTGACTGGAATGCCACTATAGAACCCTCCACATATCGCATATCAAGATCATCCAACTTACATAGTTCACAAAAGGCCATACCAATCCAGAGGCTGATGCTAGACCACAGTCTGGTAGAGCCATACAAAACCCTCCACCCCACTGAAAGGGCCTTTACACTCGTAAAAAAGAACCATGCGCAGCACACAGCCTTCTCTCGTATGGACTACTTCAATGATGGGAGCGGTTAAGAGTGCCAAAATTCTACCCTTGGCACCATACCTGGGCTTGGATTATAAACCGATTGAATTAATAATCAGCTTTAACCAGTTTGTGAAAAGAGGAGCTAGCTTTCACATACTCAACAACTCCCTCTTACTGAGCCAGACTTTCCAGGATGGGATGTGTGACTGCTGGTTCGACCAAAGAGCCTCAAGCCTACCCACCTACGATCATTGGGCATGGTTCCAAGGAAGCTACTCCACCCTCTTGAAGACAGCGGCAAAGATCTCAAGGAAGTTAGCGTCAATAAGGAAGCAAAGGAGACAAAATCTGGAATCAGCCATAAAAATCGTCGAGACCAACTTGACCAACAACTCGTCGTCTTTGATGTACTCTGGCATCCCAGAGAAAGCACGCGAAGAACTAGCAGTGTGGAGATGGTGGGACTTGAAAGGTCTACAAATAAGAGCCAGAATGAACGAGTATGAGCTTAGCGAGTCAATGTCGAAGTACTTTTTTGCCCGTATTAAACACAATTCGAGGGCTAGCACGATTGAGAGCCTGAAAACCCTCATAGACCCGGGTTTGAGATGCTGAGATAGGGAAGAATAGATGACTCCCATCGTCATCGACAAGTCAAACACCCTCACACGCTCTACAGTTGGAAGGAAGAACTTAAAAAGTACCCTAGGAATCTAGGATCTCAGTCATCAGGGCTTTATC